TTTATCCAGCACATCCCTACAAAGTTGGGGCATCTATAATCTCTCTATATTTCATATACCAGTTTCTTTACTATCTACCGGTTATATTTGAAAAATGCACGTAAGCATGCACATGCACGTAAGTTCGGTTTTGCAGTTTGCGTTCTAATTCATTTGGGCTCCAAGAAAATCTCTGTTTGTATAAACTCCTATGTTTTTAGAGGCTTAAGTTGTGATCGCACAAAATGATGTCCCAGATATACCTTCAAATTCTCAGAAAGGTATTTGTGTATTCTGAAATTGATGAAATTACAATTGGATAATGAATTTGTGAAAAGAAAATTTATTGCCCTTTAGTGTCTTTTGCCAAAGGCCCAAAATACAGTATTAGGATTTACGAGACTTTGGTATTTCTGCATATTTTCATGTTACCAGCTGTGCAGGATGGTGATAAAATCAGAAGATGGAAGAGAGTTGCGCTCTTTCAATTTCAAAGATGAAGATGAAAGGTAACTGTGCCTGATGTTCAGGTTGGCAACTTGGCAAGTTGATATACAAAATTAGATTTCTGCCATTTCACTGACTATACTATTTGGTATCAGTCAAGAAGTGCGTGCTATAGAGAGAAGAGTTTTATTGGAAGCTCTTGCTAACCAGTTACCATCAGATGCAATTTCTTTTTCCTCAAAGCTGTCATATATTGAAAGAAGTGACAAAGGAGAAACCTTACTAAAACTCAAGGATGATACTCAAATGTCTGCTAAGGTAGCTTGATCTACATGCTAATTTGATATTCAATTTATTGTTAGAATCTTCAATATTTGGATAACCTTCACGCACATTGATTACACTACTCATGGGTGCAAATATCAGCATGATAATTTGCATGCCTAGATCAATTCTAATTGAGTTCGTATCTGGTTTCTTACAATTATCTTGGAGAAAACATGTTCCCCTCCATGTGATCTTAACGACGACTATTTACTTGGGTGACCATTAAATAAGTGTCACATTCCTTGCATCTTGCTTGCACTCTTTTAAGTGTAACTATAATTTTTGGGTCTGCTTTTAATCACTGAAGTGTCTTTATGAATTTGCCTTTGGTTAGATTGTGATTGCTTGTGATGGGATACGATCTCCAGTGGCTAAGTGGATGGGTTTTCCAGAGCCCAGGTATGTGGGGCATTTTGCTTTTCGTGGCCTTGGATTTTACCCTGATGGACATCCATTTGAGCCAAAAGTGAATTACACCTATGGGAGAGGCGTGCGTGCTGTTTACGTGCCAGTTTCTCCAACTAAGGTGTACTGGTCTATTTTGTACAACAGCCCTTCACCAGGTAAACCAATATTTCACAACATCTCCTCTTGCATTCAGTTTTGCTTATTTTATAAAATTGCTTATCTTGAAATAGTGGTGTTAATAGGGTTGAGCCGAGCCAGGATGGGTCGCAGAGATTCCTTTTCTGGCCCTAATTTTGAGGTGGATCCGTATTTTTCATTCAGTTCTTTTAGCCTGTGCAGGCTAGGCCGGATTGGCCATGCCTGTTCTGGCAGCCAAGCACTTTGACCCCACCATCTGGAAGTCAACTAGCATAAATGTTCTTGTCCCTTAATAATTTTTTTCTCCTTGCAAGTCTTAACAAAGCATGTGCCATCCCTTTAATGTGGAAAACTTTTTCTGTTCAATGAATGACTCCACAGCCATGTGCACGTTAAATGTTTCCAGCCTAAAATTTCATATTTACATAGCAGTTATCTAAGTATAAAATTGTGTTTTAAACCTGGTCATTTTGTGTGAATATTCCATTAGCAAGCATTGCAGTCAAAATTGCATGCAAAGCAATCCGGGAAGATACTTTATCACAGTCAAATTGAGACATATGAAGACAAGTCTTTTCTCATTTGTTGAATTGCCTCAGTTAAAAGCTTAAAACTGTTGGAAATTATATGCGACTTACACGAATGGAACGTTTCAAGTCTTATGAAATTCTGAACCGGCACGTGAAAGGTTGAGCTATTATAGAGAGGACAAACATATTTATACTTACATATAATCTTCAACATGACTGTTTTTGTATGTCTGATGTCAGGTCCAAAGATCACAGATCCCTCTTTGTTGAGGCAGATAACCACGGAACTTGTTGGTAATTGGTCAACTGAACTCTTGAATATAATCAAATCTACACCAGATGACAGAATCGTAAGGACCCCTTTGGTAGATAGGTGGCTGTGGCCGGGAATCAGCCCTCCAGCGTCAACCGGGAAGGTTGTGCTCGTTGGCGATGCATGGCATCCGATGACACCCAATCTTGGGCAAGGAGCGTGCTGTGCTTTGGAAGATGCAGTTGTTTTGGCAAAAAAACTTGCACAGGCAATCAAGTTTGGAACCATTTCAATCGAAGATGCATTCATGTCTTATGGACGTGAAAGGTGGCCCCGTATCTTTCCATTAGCCGTACGTGCAAATCTCGTTGGAGCTTTCTTACAGTCGGAAAATCCTTTGGTATGTTCTATTCGTAACAATATTGTTGTTCCTAAGCTAGTTAGAGTTGGACCAATGCTCGAACATACGAATTTCGAATTCGAGTCTCTGTACTAACACTAAATCCATCAAAAACAAGATTATGAGGAATTTCAGTAACACTTGTGCTAGGTGTTACATTGTGTGAGTCTGTTTACCTATTCCCTCTGTTGCCGCCGATCCACTTGCGTTAAGTCACCTTAATATTCTTACCCCTACCATTTAGAGTAAACCCGTTTTTCAGAGTAATAGAATATTATAGTTATTTTACTTAGTATTAGGTTTTAATGTTGGGTTGTATACACATATAGTGTTGTTTTGTTGATGTAAAATAACATTTTGATATTAAATAAATCGTGGTTTTTTTTTTTGTATGATTGCTTTTATTTAATATTTAATAGGATCTAGTTCAAGCAGACCCAAATTTGCATGGGTTAGCCATATCCGGGTCGACCTTGGAGGGGATCGATCCACGTCGGGTCATGTCGGGTCTAGATGAGTTGGGTCCAAACTTCAAAATTATTTATGCAGCTACGATTGTTGAGTTTGATTAATGTTTGGATTGATACCGTTGGATCATTGGATATTTCTACGTTGAAGATTCAGTTTAAATATTAGGCTTGAGCCCAATAAATTTTTAATTTAATTTTTGATTTGTTTTTGAACCGCAAATAATTGTTAATTTTTTTCTTATGAATTTGTTTGAAATGTTATCATTCTAGACATCATTACATATAGATTTGTTTATGACATGCTTGTGAAACTATGCATAGGATGCAAATCATCGAATATCGATTTTTTCTCGATTAATTAATTTAGATAAAAAAAATCGAAAGGAAAATCCGTAATAATTAATTTGTATGTAAATTTGATTAATGTTAACTGATGGTAAATTCACTACTTTAAAATATTGAATGTGAGAGGTTGTTTATTTAAATAAAAACATGCGATTATATTTTTCAATCCATAAGCAAAGTAACACGTCTCATGTCAATAATGCAATGAAGTCTGTGAAAGGCCGCACACTTCGAATTGTAGGATTGGATTCATTTATGGTAGGATCATATGGAATATAATTTGGAATCACCTTGTAGATAACAAAATTATTTTTCAAATATTTGCAGATCTAGAGTCCGTTTGTTTCTCATTTTTCATTCATAAAAATGAAATATATGACCGTTATCTATCATATCAAACCATCAATTTTGAATTTCTATCTCTTGTGTGGGGCCGGGGCCCAATAACGACTATATTTTTCATTCTCATTCTACAATATTGAGAATCAAACGGGCTCCTAAACAAATGTTATATACACTAATTGCGTTTGTGAATTTGGCAACCAAGCAAAATGATACTGGACTCATTTAGACATTTGTTGTTAGAAATGATTTGTTTAGGCTAGCTGGTTTTAAAGTCGTTCGTACCTTATAGAATATTCGCGTGAAAATTGAACTGCATGTGAAGGATCATATGTTGACTATGATCACATTAAAGAATATTGGGTTGGGTAGTGGAGGATGAGAGAGAGAGAAAGAGAAAGAGAATTTTTTTCTAATTTTTTAATAATTTATTTGAGACTCATTTTTACTTTTTAAAGAAATTTGGAAGTATAGTTGCAATTAATTCTTTATTTTTCTTTTTATTGTATTTAATATGAGGGTATGTTCATCAATTCACAACTTTTTATTGAGAAATAAATGTAAATAATGATTTTGCAATGGGATGTGTAAATAAGCGTAAAAAAAAAAAAAGTGAGGACGTTTTGCGCAATGAACTTCAAACGTATGAACGTTTTGTATTAATAACCCTCGTCAAAATTACAGTCTCGCTATTAACCCCTCCATCCATATACCTAGTTTTATTAGAAGGCTAGAATTTAATAATGTTATGTTTTTGTAACTTACCATTATATAATCAATCATGCTTGGCTATTAGAACTTTTTGGTATCTTGAATGATAAAATGTCATCTTCGTAGATGGATTAACGTGATATTCTATCATTGAACTGTTTAAAAAATAATCATCACCATCATTCAATCATTTTTTTGACACAACTTAATGATATTCTATCATTGAACTGTTTAAAAAATAATCATCACCGTCATTCAATCATTTTTTGACAAAACTTAATCCGTCTACGAAGATGTTAAAAACACCTGACAAAACAGCATTATTCTTACAAATATTCCCTGAGTACAGGGAATATTTACAGATTTTGTTGTGTTTTGTTTTCATCTTTGAATCTGTATTGTTGATTTTAAATTTCTGTATCAATTCTGTAAAAAACTTCTGTACTTATAGACTAACTCTTATTCTTATATCGCATGTCAATAAGGTTGTTTGGAATATTTTGGAGCCACGACATCATATTAGCATTTTTTAACGAAGGCTGCAAAATATTCGCGGCGAAAAATCAAATCCAGTTTTCCACCACTTGTTTGTACAATAGTATCCAAAATCCAACTCACGAGCTTGCAAAATAGTTCAACATTCAGAATCCATGGCGGTCTCCACTCTGATGCTTCAGAAGTGGCCCCCTTCTATTCCTTCAACAACTTCACTATATCACTCAAGAATTTACGGAGTTAAAACCAGAATCAGAGCCAGACCCATTTCTCTATCCATAGTTAATGCTCAAAGTGATGTTAAGAAGGAAGATATAGTCATTATTGGGGCCGGAATTGCTGGCCTTGCCACTGCAGTCTCGCTTCAGAGGTTAGATTCGCCTCTCGGAAATTGTTATGCTTGTTTTAATTTCAATTGAAATATATGTTTGAAATCAATAACTAGTGTTAAACTAAGTAATTTTTATTAGAAACGAGTGAAATTCTTCTTTTTTTTTTCTTTTTCTTGATGTGAATTCTTGTACCTAGGCTTGGCATTCGGTCACTTGTGCTTGAGCAAAGCGAGACACTGAGGACTGAAGGAACTTCATTAACACTTTTTAAAAATGGATGGAAAGTTTTGGATGCTATTGGAGTTGGCAGTAATCTTAGAAGCCAATTTCTTGAAATTGAAGGGTATGTCCATGCTATCTTGATATCATATTTTTTGCTACTCCATTTGTTATGTGAAATACTACATTTTGGCCTAGCATTGTGTCTTCTTGCCCAAGAAAACTGTTATTTCAATGACATATACTTTCTTTCATACTTGACACAACTTTTCATCTAATTAATCCTACAATTTTGTTCAAGAATCAAAACAATACACTTTCCCGGAAAGCAACGGTTCTTGGGGGAATGCCTACGCATGGCTATAGATAAGGCCTTCCGAATTTCAGACCCCACACAAATAACTCCGTTGTTTCGTGCAAAATAATTCATTTATTTCTTGGTAAAATTCTACTTCATACACTAGAATTTGTTCCTTTATGTGTTGCTTCTAATCAAACGAAAATTTCCTACTATCTTAGTAGACAATTGCTCAAGACCTCGAGCACTATTGAGACAACATGAATACATTGGGTATAACCTTTTACAAGTCATATTATTCACATTTACATGATTAAAAAATATGCAGTATGAATCCTAGCATATCATAGGGACAGCAAAACGCGCTTCTACTGATTTCGAATTTAAATTTTCTCAGTATTGTCCAAGGATGGTTTAGAGAGACTCAATTCCTGATGGAAGTGACTTCTTTCTAGAACCAATATTGCGTTTCTGCTAAAAATTACGACCATCTAAAAATTTGACGGAGTTTCTATGCTTTGCAATTTGCATTCAAATTAATTTGGATTTGAAGAGAATCTCTGTTTGTACAAACTCTTATGTTTTTAGGGTCTTAAGTTATGGTCGCACAAAATTATGTCCCGGATATACCTTCAAATGCTCAGAAAGGTATTTGTATATTCTGAAATTCATGAACTTACTATTGGATAATGATTTTGTTCAAAGAAAATTTATTGCCCTTTAGTGTCTTTTGCTAAAGGCCCAAAATACTATTAGGATTTATGAGACTTTGGAATTTCTGCATTTTTTCATGTTACCAGCTGTGCAGGATGGTGATAAAATCAGAAGATGGAAGAGAGTTGCGCTCTTTCAAATTCAAAGATGAAGATGAAAGGTACTGTGCCTGATCTTCGGGTTGGCAAATTGATATATATAATTAGATTTCTGCCATTTTACTGATTATACTATTTGGTAGCAGTCAAGAAGTGCGTGCTGTAGAGAGAAGAGTTTTATTGGAAGCTCTTGCTAACCAGCTACCATCAGATGCAATTTCGTTTTCCTCAAAGCTGTCGTCTATTGAAAGAAGTGACAAAGGAGAAACCTTGTTAAAACTCGAGGATGATACCCAAATGTCCGCTAAGGTAGCTTGATCTACACGTTAATTCGATATTCAATTTATCGTTGAAATAGATTTTGGATGACCTTCAACAACATAGATTACACTACTCATGGGTTTGAGCTTGATAATTTGCATGCATAGATCAATTTCAATTGAGTTCGTATCCAGTTTCTAACAATTGTCTTTTAGATTCCCCTCCATGTGGTCTTAAAAATGGCTATTTACTCGGGTGACCATTGAAGAAGTGTCATATTCCTTGCTAATCTTGTATACACTCTAAGTGTAACTATAATTTTTGGGGTCTATTTATAGTCACTGAAAGTTTCTATATGAATTTGCCTTCTGTTAGATTGTGATTGCCTGTGATGGGATACGATCTCCAGTGGCTAAGTGGATGGGGTTTCCAGAGCCCAGATATGTGGGGCATTTTGCTTTTCGTGGCCTTGGATTTTACCCTGATGGACAACCATTTGAGCCTAAAGTGAATTATACGTATGGGAGAGGCGTTCGTGCTGGCTACGTGCCAGTTTCTCCGACTAAGGTATACTGGTTTATCTGCTACAACAGCCCATCACCAGGTAAACCATAACTCACATCTCCTCTTGTATTTCATTTTTGCTTATTTTATAGAATTGCTTATCTTGAAGTAGGGTGTCAATAGCGTTGAGCCGGGCCAGGTTGGGTTGCAGAGATACCTGGACCGGCCCAGATTTTGTGGTGGATCCGTATTTTTCATCCAATTTTTTAGCCTGTGCAGGCCAGAATTGCCATGCCTGGCCTGGGAAGCCAAGCACTTCGACCCCACCATCTGGAAGTCAACTTGCATAGATGTTCTTGTCCCTTACTAATCATTTTTTTCCTTGCAAGTCTTCATAAAGCATATGCAATTCTTTAATCTGGAAAACTTTTTATTCAGATTTCTAGCTTAATATTCTTTTTCTGATTTCAAATTTGCCACATGATGTCAGTTCTAATAGCAATTATCTAGGTATAAAATTGTGTTTGAAACCTGTCATTTTGTCTAAATATTCAATTAGCAAGTATTGTAGTCAAAATTGCATGCAAAGCAATCCAGGAAGATACTTTGTCACAGTCAATTAGAGATATGTGAAGACGAAACTTTTCGCATTTGTTGAATTGCCTCATTTAAAGGCTTGAAACTGTTAGAAATGATATGCAGCTAACACATACAAATTTCGTAAATAGGTAAAATCGATAATGAAACTCATAAAGTCCTTTATTACATTGAAGCAATCTATCTAAAAGCTTGAGCAGAGGACAAACATATTTGAATATAGTCTTCAACACGACTGTTTTTGTACGTTTAATGACAGGTCCGAAGATCGCAGATCCATCTTTGTTGAGGCAGAAAACCAAGGAACTTGTTGGTAATTGGTCAACTGAGATCTTGAATATAATCAAATCTACTCCAGATGACACGATCATAAGAACCCCTCTGGTAGATCGGTGGCTGTGGCCGGGAATCAGCCCTCCAGCGTCAACCGGGAAGGTTGTGCTCGTTGGCGATGCATGGCATCCGATGACACCCAATCTTGGGCAAGGAGCGTGCTGTGCATTGGAAGATGCAGTTGTTTTGGCAAAAAAACTTGCACAAGCAATCAAGTTTGGAACCATGTCAATCGAAGATGCTTTCATGTCTTATGGAAGCGAAAGGTGGCCTCGTATCTTTCCATTAACTGTACGTGCAAATGTTGTCGGAACTCTGTTACAATCAGATAATCCTGCGATATGTTCTGTTCGTAACAATATTGTTGTTCCTAAGCTGGTCAGACTTGGACCAATGCTGGAGCATACGAATTTCGAATTTGAGCCTCTGTACTAAGTAAATTCATCAAAACAAGATTATGAGTAACACTTGTGCTAGGTATATGTTTCTTATCCCTACCATATATTATGTTTAAAAAAACACACGCTCTCCCGCCATCAACAATGTTTCTGAAAACACTGGGGTGTCACAATGGATGTCAAACTACATTTAGCATTGTTCAATATTATTAGATTTTTAAAGTTTTCAATTTTATAATACAATTGATCTCTAATGGCGATTTCTATTATAGTTAAAATAGGGAAAATTGCAGCAACGGTCTCGAATCATTTTGATTTTTGTAAATTCTACCTTAATCTTTATGTTATGCTAACAGAGGTCTCTAACCTTTCATAAATATGTAACTAGGGCCTATTTGGGCAGAAGCTATCTACTTTTCAGTTAGTTGACCGAAAAAATGATTTTGGCCATATTAATTATTCTTATAAGGATAAAATGGTAATTTTATATCTTTCTATATAAAAATAATAAAATAAGAAATCATCATCATCTTTTACTCCTACCCTATCCCTTCCAAACCTCACCCCTACCCAAAACCAAAATCATTATACCCACCATGGCCACCGCCACCACTACTGCCACCAAATCCACAGCTATCACCACCTTCGCTACCGTCTTCTCCACTACCAAATGGATCCCAAATCTAAATCGAACCATTTGATTTGGAAAAGCAGATCCATCTCAACCTACAATCTCACCACCACCGCCAACCTCATCACCTTGGAGGACATCCACCAAACTAATAGTACTATTGGGCTAAATCTGTTTATCCCATCCCAAATCCTTCAAATCCAGGGTCAATTCCAACTCCAGCAACAACAGTTGCTTAATCAGCATGTAAATTACTCTTAGACATTTGTAGCATAAGCAAAACCAATTCTCAAGCTTTCTTGGTCCAAAATCCGTGAAGCTTGAAGTACTCAAACTTTAGCAATGCGAATTTGCACTTGCCATTCAATGCGAAAGTTTGAGTAATTCAGTGCAATATCAAGTTGTGAAAGTAATGGCAAGTGCAAAATCCGTTTGCATGGCTCAATTTTCCCCACATTTCCGCTTCAATGTCCTTAGCTATCGTCATGGACTAGTTATTAGACCACGAAGCAACAGCCACCTAAGTAGCTCTGATGTTATTGCAGTTCCTCCAAGCTTTGATGCTCAATTGTTACACAAAATTAGAGAAGAAAATTTGAAAATTGGAGAAGAAATGCCTTGCGCCAAATAGTGGATGCGGGGGGAGAGAGAGAGAGAGACTTTGTAGAGAACTTTCCGCTTGAAGAGGGTATGTCCGGTTGGGAGAAATATGTTCTCGAGTATTGTAAAAATCTTAAGTGGTGGCTATGGGGTGAGACGTTGAGTTCTCTGGGTGATTTCATTTTGAATAATGCTACTTGCAATCGCTCACTGCGGCAATTGTCCTATGTGGCACACACATGTCAACTGTGTCACATAGGACGATTGCTGCAGTGAGCGACTGCAAGTAACATTACTCTTTCATTTTGGGGGAGGAATGGATGGAGAATGGGAAGGATGAGGGTTAATTTCATTATTAATATGAGATTGATGAAAATGCCCTTATTCAAATTGGTCAAAATATTCAATTTTTCCAATTTTATGGTAAAGTATCGAGAAAGTGAACAGTTTCCATCTAAATGGACCTCAACTGCATATTGATGAAAGTTAGGAACCTTCGTTGGCACAAAATAAAAGTTATGATAACATCTGCAAAAATTAAAAAAGTTGGGAACTGCTGCTGTACTTTTCCCATTAAAATATGGTATAATTAATAATAACTTTGGTTTGAAAAATTGAGAATAACTAACACTAGTAAAATGTCAATTTTCCTTTGCACCCGCTCAAGGATGTCCTTTTCTTGATGCAAAAGTAATTCCTTTAATGCAAAAGTAATAATCGGATCAAGCTTCGGAATTTTGGCCTGGAATTGGCATTAGTTTATTGCTTTGAAGCCACATACAAACATAGGTCTTGACGTTTGAAAACTAGCATGCACAAAACTTGCAGCAAAACCAATATTTAGAATCAAACAAAACTGTTTCGCATCCAACTCCAAATCAAAAAACTGACCCATGAACTTGATCAAAGATTTTAAAAATACCCCTGACGCTACGACTGAAAGAGCATTCATGCATGTCAAAGTCGTGAAGAACAATTGTAAAAAAAACCCTTGAAAACCATCTAAATTTACACTGAAATGACTGCAAGGTTTTCCCGACAATTTCAATGAAAGACGGTTCTAGAGGATATGTTCTGCTACCCACGACCCAAAAAGATCAATCTGTCAAATGGCAGATTCGGGAAGGCAGGTTGCAAGCCCTTACTTTCCACCCAAGGAAGGGAACTGTCCAACATCTTCAATAGCTGGGGCTTGCATGTCGTTCCTATTGCTTCCACCATATACTCCTCTACCACGTCCCCTGCCCCTGCCACGGCCACCGGATTGGTAGTTCTCCCCTTCAGCCGGCTTAAGGAACTCATTTATACTTACAGCCTGCACAAGAACAAAAGCCAATTTGTTAAGTGTAAAGAGTTGCATTCAAAACCAATGCTTTCAAACCCAGCTCATAAATATAGAGGGTTAAAGGTTTAACGGCGGTCTGTCCAAAAGAGGCCAAAAACATTTAATTAGTTCAGGAGACAATTTCTCCTGCAAACAAATTTGACGTGTGTTTGAATGTGGGTTTAGTTTAATAGATCCAGACCGTTGCATAAACTTAAATATGGTTAGTAATATGGTCAGTAACCAAAAATTGAAGTTCTATGGTAAGTAATATGGTCAAACTCAAGTCTAAGCATAATATTTTTCTTTCTTTATAAATTAAAAGCGAACTGTTATTAAATTAGAAACACAGCCAGTGCTAACTTGATATTAAATGTTAAGACAGAAACAATTTAAATACTTCACCATCCAAATTTTGAATTTTTACTCCAAATTCAACAAAGCTGTGAGACGAGACCAATCTGCAAATGAAAAGTCCTGCACTATTGATTCAACGAACAACTCCAACTAGAATAATATCAGATTCTCAACCGTCCTTTAAACACTTCACCATCCAAATTTTGACTTTTTTTTTAACTCCAAATTCAACAGAGCCCTAAGATGAGACCACGTTATGACAAGTCTCACACTATTGATTCAACTCCAAACTAGAGTAATCTTAGATTCTCAAATGTCAATATAGTTCAATCTCCATATAAGGCTTGTAATGATATGAAATATAAAGAAAAACAAATATAACAGTTTCCAATGAATCGCAGAAGCCAATATCAATGCTCAGTGTTTGCAAGACAGCATCAGGCTACCTACATGCACGTGTGTGTCTGCATAGAAATCTTTTTCCCTGGGGGTATTCGAAGCATGTTAACGACCATTCTTTCAAAAAATATCCCCAGAGTATGCAACAAATTTGCTTCAAATTGAAAGTAATAGGAAGTGCAACCAGGTAGAGCAGAACATGAACTTACCTTTTTGGCCTTCTCAGCTGCCTCTTTGCGCTTATCTTTATCAGAACCCTGTCCAGTTTGCCAAAATTTTCAATAAAATCAATACACTTGACTCTACATGACCCAACTAAATTTAGCACTGATAAAAGAATAGGCTTACCAATTTGATAAAGACTTCATCATCGTTCTTCTTGTTGGACAGAAGTTGCATGGATTCAAGTTCCTTGTCCAAATTGACCTTCCTTTCCTCTGATTTAAGAGCGAGCAGTGCCTTTCTCTTCTCTTCCAGTACTTTCTCATACTCCTCCAGAGTCATCTCCTGTCACAGTGGCAGATCATAAATATTGTCAATATTTAAAAAATCAACATGTTAGCATACCATAATCATTTGATCCTTAGAATATACAAACTAGAAAAGACTCGTGTGGAAAAAATAAAACTTAGTAATAAGGTTTCAAAGGTTCATGCCTAAAAACTGGAGGTATAGTGAGTTTTTCCCTTGTGTCATAAGATCATCGAAAAACATGACATTTGTCTTTCACGTTTCACCATTTTGGACCCCACAGAGAAAAGCAATGACTGAAACTTGAAGAAATGTATATCTAGTACAAATTTTCTCTTTCCAGAACCAAAATAGAAGTTATATTCCTTCCCTTGATTAATCAAATATTTGGACACCCAAAACTTATTATATTCCAGCTCGTTTTTTGTCTTGCTTTCCTTGTTCTCTCCCTGAGAGGCAAGTGGGTGTTTCATATTAAGCTCTTGCATTATTAATATTGATTGATGTCAGTGCAGTGACTAGTAATTTCTATTACTTTTGAAACACCGAAACATCAATGTTTCAGTTCATACTGATGAACTCCATTTCACAAAAAAAAACTTGAATGCATCGCAACGGAGAAAAAAGAAAGAAAGAATGAAAAAATTGATGCACATCGATCGTTGGCAAATCATCCCATGGAAATTAGTCTAGGGTCAATCTAGTGCATACCAACAAGAGTCTACCATATAATGCAGAGGACAGTCTCCAACTGAAAATCAGCAAACAAAATAATGTGATGACAGCTAAGGACGAAGAAAACAAAGAAAAGAGGCTGTTTATTTAATATTAAGTCATTGGTAATTGATAGAAATCGATCTCTTAATGTCAGTGAATGAAACTAATATAATGAATGCAATTGAGGAAACCAGTTATCAGTGTCGTTCACTCTGAAGCATAAAATCAGGAAATATTTCACCTTTTCCTCAGGCTCCTTCTCTTCTTGTTCATTTGCAGAAGAATCCTTGTTAGCATCACTGACATCATCTTGCACTGGTTCCTTCTCAACATCAGTGTTCTTCTCTCCTTCATTAACAGGTTCTTCAGTTTCCCTGCATTATGTAACAACATAATATGATATTCATATTATATAAAACCCATTCAAATATAATAACAGCAGCTAAACTTCAAGATTCGAGTACTCACAGGGCAATCTCATCAGTGGCTGCACCCCAATTTCCACGACCAGATCCCTCACGTTTAAGCTCGTTTCTGCAACAGAAATAGTGAATAATAATATGACAAGAAGAAATATTGAAATAAACTAAATAAGTTTCTGCACAATTCATGCCCAAAGAATTCCAAAAAAACCTGGCCTAATTTGTAAAATAACAAAAACTTTATTCAAAAAATACAAAAAAGGAAAAAAGAAAAAATGACAGCAATTAGTAACAACTCTCTAAATCTCTCACCCTCGCCCAGTCCCACTGTGGCGATCAAATGCCCTTCGAGGACGTTCACCATCAGGAGTCTCCCCATTACTGAAACCGCCACGGCGACCACCACGGAAACCCCCACCTCCACGAGGTCCACCATACGGTCGCCTTTCAGATGGATTTCTAGCATCTCCATCTTCTGAAACCCTATACCCTCCAGGTAATTCATTGTTGTTTCCAAATGTATTTTCACTGTCAGCAGAATCTCGATTATATCCACGGCCACGACCACCCCCACGTCCTGCACCACGACCTCTTCCACGCTGACCACCTTCATTCTTTGCCTCCCTCACTGCTCGAGATGAATAAAAAAACAGTAAGCGTTAAAGCAGAAAAAATAAACACCAGGGCTCCAGTTAGACATAGTACAGGATCCAAGAACATATTACAAAGCCTTTGCGAAATAAATGATTAAAATCGAGTAATTGTAAAATGGGATAATGGATACTGACAATGACAATAACATGGCACTCCATCAATAGAAAGCACTGTCCATACACCTAATCATAGAACAGGATAGTACAACTGGAATACTAAATTGGACAAATAGATTGTACTTCTATTGAAGATAAGAAAAGTAAAATCCAATAAATTATTATAATGAGTGTCCACATTTAAGGAAATGCAAAAGATCGTTTTACATATTTCAAACCATTTAAAGGTTAGCGTTTGATCACTTCACTCTTTCATTTTCCGTGTCTTCAGCAAGGAAACATAAAATATCAAATTCACAATATGCGTGCATAAATGGATAGGAAATAACAGGAGATTCAAGCATCATTTCGAGGTCCATTTAAATAAATTAAAGTTCACACGCCAGCATCCATCAAAATCAATAGAAAATTTAAAACACGCCAGCATCCATCAAAACCAATAGAAAATTTAAAATTTTCACTCCATTAATTCCTTACCAGCCTGAGCAGGTGGTGGAGGCTTAGAGGGAAGCCTAGCAGCAGGCTTAGCCGCCTGCTGAACCTTAGCTAGAGCCTCCTTTGCTGGAGCCGAAGCCGTTGCTTTCTGCTGCTGGGCAGAAATAAGCAGACTTAGATCCTCCGTGTCGTCATCACCCAAAAGATCAAATGGGTTTATAGTGGTCATCTCTCAATTAATCAGATAGATAAACAGATACAGTTCAGTGAAAAAACAATGAGGAATCAAGAAAAAACTCTAGTTACTGGAATCCATGAAAATAGATCCTACAGAGAGGAAGTTTTCCTGCAAGAAAATATTTTGAGAGGGAGAGTAAATGCGGCAGGGCAAATGAGCAAAACCTAATCCTTAAAACCCCAGTCTAGTGGATGGGGATAGAATGGGAGAAGATTCATTGTATCTAAACGGTCGGGTCGGATCTTAGTGGGTCCATATCCATGTAATTTTGGGCTTGCTCGTGATGTGGGTTTGGCCCTGTAAGAATTTCTCTGATTTGGGGTTAGATTGCAAGCTCCGATTTGACGATTTCACTTAGCACCCGTTCGAGACAGATTTTCTCGGCAAAATGTGTGTCGGAATAGTATTTTGATAAAAAATGTGTGGTTAAAAACTAAGAAAATATTTTGACTTTGCGTGTAATATTATTTTTTAAAATAATGTGTGGTTGAAAATAAGAGAAGAAAAATTATATTTTAAAAATAATGGGGATCAAACAATGGCTAGTCCCTGTTTGGTGCACATTTTTAAAAAAGAATGCATTTTTACCGTTGATGTGATGGGAATTGAGAAATATGTAGTTGAAAAATAAGAAAAAATTATTTAAATGATGAAAAATATTATTTTATTAAAAAATGTATAGTTAAAAATGAATAAAAGAATGAGAATGAAAAAATGGTGCGGCTCAAACATGGTCTTAATCTTATTACTCGAAACGGCAATTGAGTTGCTCAACTTTAATTTATTACAATCAAACTTTCAATGTTAATGCATTCATTGAGACATTGACCCTTGTTACAAAATTTAATGTCCTGATCCCGCCATGTCTCACCAAGCGATTCAAAATTTAAATACAGATATCGTTGAGTTATGATTTCACAAACGATAATTTATTTTTCAAATTTTGCAGTCACGACTTTTTTAAGTGAAATGATTTAATGTCAGCATAGGATTTAAATGTTAAGTTTAGTATCATAGCTAACAAAGTAACTAGCACTATAAAATAAAGTCCAGTAATTTGATTGAAATACTCAAAGTTGGTTGACACAATTAAAATTCCATTGAGAAATATTATGTTAGTCTATTTTTTATTGGTAGGTAGATGAGAGAAAAAGATATAGTGAATTACGTGAAAAATAAAAACTGTATCTTCCTAAAAAATATATATTTTTTCCTTGTTTTCAAGAAAAATCTGGTCACGTGATCAAAAATAGGAAAATATTTTTCGTGAAGTTTTTTTTCAATCAAACGGTACAAAAGCATAAAAAATTGGTGAAAAAGCACATTTTTCACGAAAAATATTGATAAACAAACGCACCCTTATAGTTCATTTTTAATAAAAATCGCATACATTTTGGAGGCTAATTACGAGTTGGACAAATAGACGTCTAAACGTTCCAAATAAAAGGATAAACGAAAAGGGTATATCAATCCTTTTCCTACTAAGTCCTTGTTTGATAACGCTATTTAGCATATTAGCAAGTTTTCAACTTGAAATATAAGTCTAAATAAAAATTCATATGAAATAAACTGCTAATGCTACCTATCCGACAACAACTAGAATAAATTTCTCACATTCATTTGTAGGGATGTCAATATGGTACATCAACTTGGGTGGCCCGTGGCTGGACCAAGAAAAAACCCGAGCCGAGTCGGCTCGTGCTATTTCTAAGATATTAAGTATGTGCCATTTCTCTAAATCACGTGCCAATTATTGATATTACTAAAGATTCTTGTGCTTAAGTGGATAGTTACATGTATTTATGTATATTTTTTAGGAAAAATTTCATTTCTAAGATGTTATGTATGTGCCATTTCAAAAATAAGAAAACAAATTTCAAAATTTAAAAATCAGATTTTTTTTTAAATTTTTATCTATGAATTAGTAAATTATTAAATAAATTTATTAAATATTTTATTATAATATAACATAATTAATCCACCTCACCTACACCACCCCTACTGTTCCAGAGATTATTCCGACGATCGTTCTGGCCACCGCTTTTCTCCGACGACCGTTTCAGTTACTTTTCTGATTCCGACGACTATTCCGATGACAGTCACATATTTATATAATATGGTCACAGATTCACAATTTAGTTAGTCACATATTATTTTTCGATCACAAAGCATAGTTTTTTATTATTAAATAAATTTATTAAATATTTTATTATAATATAACATAATTAATCCACCTCACCTACACCACCTCTACTGCTCCAGAGATTATTCCGACGATCGTTCTAGCCACCGCTTTTCTCCGACGACCGTTTCAGTTACTTTTTCGATTCCGACGACTATTCCGATGACAGTCACATATTTATATAATATGGTCACAGATTCACAATTTAATAAGTCATATATTATTTTTCGGTCACAAATCATAATTTTTTACTTCACAAATTAATTTACGGTTACAACTCAAGATTTTTATAGGTCACAATTTATTTATCAGTCACAAATCAAAAATTTTGCAGGTCACAAATCAGAAATTTTGTAGGTCACAAATTTGTTCGAGGTCACAAATCAAAAATTTTATAGGCCACTGTTTATTTTTCTGTCACAACTTAATCAATTGTGAGTCACAATTCGAATTTTAAGGTCACAAATTATCAAATTTTAAAGGTCAAAGTTAAATAATTAGTCATAAGTGACCAAATAGTTGGTCACATACTCAATGGTCAACTAATGGGTCACATAAAACCACCACACACCTCCACAGTCACAAGTCATCACCATCACCACCATGACACCGCACAACTCCACTGCCACGACCGCCAAAACAACATAGATCAGCACATATACCCACATATCCCACCTCCATCACCGTCACTATCGCTACCACCGCTAAAACAACACAAATCACACACACAAACACACAGATCGACATATACAACAGATCGCCCACCTCTACCACACGCAACCGCACAAAAACCAGCACACCCGCAACAAATCAGCACACACCCGTAACAGATCAACAACTGCGCCTCCGCGGGCTTAGAGTCAAGCCTCAACGCTACTGTACACCATTACCTCACCAACAAAAATCATACAAAATCACGATGCGAGAAGGAGGGCGTGGGTGCGACGGTCCTACCGGTTACGCGTGGCGGTCTTAAACGTTGCACCATGGGTAAAGCTGCTGTGAGTTCAAAGCTGCCTCGGTGTCGTTGGGGGTTCCGGTAGGAAGGTGGGTACGACGCCGGTGGGAAGGTAGATAGAGGTGAGAGAGGGAAGGTAGATTGAGGAGAGAGAGGGAGATGGAGAAAAGTGAGCGATTAGGGTTTGGAAATTAAAATGATTATTATATAATTAATATTTAATCTATAAATATAAAATATTTGATTTTTGAAAAGTGAAACATGTGGTCTGATTTTTGAAAATGGATATTGAAAAGAAGGGTTTTGTGTAATTTCCACTAATAATAATAAAATATTACATGCAGGGAGCAATCGGTCGCACCACTTTTTTTTTTTAACTGTAAATTTTTTTATGTTAATATTTAGTTATTATTTATAATACGTATAAATTGCACAAATTTTAAATATCCATTCATTGATAATTCAAACTAAAGGGTAGAAAGAGAATCGAAACTATGAGGACATGTAGCTCTTGTCCGAAGAAAAATAATGTTTTGAATAATGATTTTTAGGATAATGTGTAGTTCAATAGTAGAGAAAATTTTGAGTTCATATGTATAATATTTTATTATGTGAATGTGTGATTGGAAATAAGTACGTAAAAAAAATAAATTCAAACAATGGTTGTCAAATATGAGCATATGTCTTAACAAATATAAATGACCAATTTGAAAATTTTGAAAAGCAGCAGGGTTTCACTTGAAATTGATCAAAGTGCTAAATATTCCCACCCAAATGTCCTTTCAGAACAAAACTCTTCATTGATATTCCAAAAGAGAGACCGCTAGAAAAAGAGAGAGAAAATGGCGGAAAGCCCATCTGCTAAGAGATGGCTTCCTCTTGAAGCTAATCCCGATGTTATGAACCAGGTTTGATCCAATTTCCCATCGAATTTCCTTTTTCATATATATAAGTTTTAACAATCTGAGGAAGTGTCATTTGCAGTTTCTCTGGGGACTCGGCGTTCCACCTGATGAGGCAGAGTGCTTTGATGTTTATGGATTGGACGAAGAACTTCTAGAAATGGTTCCAAAGCCAGTGCTCGCCGTCCTTTTTCTCTACCCTATAACATCACAGGTAATTTGTGAAAGAGTTGGTTGGCTGAGTTTAAAAGGTTTGGACTTATAACTAAATGCGTTAGTTCTAAAATATATAATCCTTTTAAAAAATAAATGACTTATTTTACTGAAAAATAGGAAAAGGACCAATTTGTCGAAAATATGTTTGGAACTGAAAATAATTTTCTCCAAGCTTAGCCAAACATGCTCACGCAATGCAACTTTCTATATCAGTCGATTCTTAATTTTGTATCACTTAGGGGGGTTGCTTTCTGCACTACAATGTTTACAGTGTATTTGTATTGAAATGACAATTCTGGTTTTTTTTTACAGAGCGAAGAAGAGAGGAGAAAACAAGATAGTGAAATAAAGGTGAGTTTGACTTTATTATTGTATTTAATGTTCCCATTTGGATGATACATTTATATTTCTATTTTATAGATGCTCATAGGAAGATTTTCGCGCTTGAATCATGCGATTTGATGGGTTTTGGAGTTGATAATAGGACTAGAAGCATGGATTTGTAAGATGGGATTAGTATATGGAGGATTTGACCAGAAATATTAAGTTATCAAAAATCCAGAGTAAATTATCTGGTTTGACCTATTTTCAATTTTAAATTGCGGAGACATTGTATTACTAGTTTTCCTTATTTTTCTGAAAACAAAGAGGTTGCGGTTGGCACACACTATTAGATCTTATAAAAATTTAGCATAATATTTGAGTAGACAGTAGTAGATGAATGGTATTACCGCAAATTACCGTGGATAATATTATTTGATCTTTTAGTAAAAAAATGTCATTTTATACTAGTTATCTTATATCTGGTGTGGTTGACAATTTTGACTGGAGAATATTATCTACCTTAAATCCTTAATCTACCATAATACCATCCACCTACTATTATCCATTTTAGTTTTATACTAAATTGTTTATACGATCTAATACGATGTACCGAACACAATCTAAGGGTGAAAAGAGTAACTAGCATATTCCATTCTTTACTTGTATATCAAACATCACAAGTAGAATCCAAATGCATTTCCCCTCCTTTCATTTTCATATCTTAATCTCAAATCCATTTCAAAATTGGTTCCAATTTTACCTCCAGTGGTGTCCTCTCCCATGCTCTATTCCTTAGCCTAAGTCTCAAAGACGGGGAAGAAACTACCTGGTCGATCTCTCTTTTCCTTTGTTTCGAGCTGGACTAAGCGAGCAATCGTCCATGAGTTTGATCTACAATCAACAATCCCATCAGTGTAGTAAGCTTCAATAATGTACGTAGATCAGTTGAGGCATCGGATTACCTACCTTTAGTATAAGGCTTTTGGGAAGTTTGCTCCGAGTAAACTAAGCCCTTGTCTGGTAGAGATATTTTGAAAATATATTTGGTGGAAAAGTGATTTTTTTTGTAGATTTGTAGTTAAAATTATCGGGAGAATATGTGATTGAAAATAAGTTTGAGGAAAAATGAGTTTTAGAAAATGGGGATCGAAAAAGGCCTAAATGTATTTTCAGATTTTGGATGAGGTTTGCATGCTCCTACATTTGAGACTTTAGTCTTCCAATGATGACCATATGACTTATTTTCTTGTCATCTGCCAAATCTAGGTTATGTACTTTATCTTATGTTCATTAATTATTTTCGATTATTATTTCATGATGTTTATACGTACAACATTTAGCTCTTCATATATGGTTTTTGCAACTTGTTCATAATCTTTTTCCACAAGAATGTTTACCTAAAACTACAGTGACAAAAAGTACCATACATCAACTTTTGGGTTTCTTTTCACTATACTCTCCTACAATGACTAGATTTCTACCTCTACCGTTTCTTTCTTATTTCTCGTTATTATGTTTGTGTGTTGCCAATGCCGCTCTATACTAATAGAATGTCAAATAGAATAAAATAAATTCGGTTGAGCATATTTGTTGAAAAAATTTATCCAAAGTGTATTTACTTGATCATAACAATGTATTTTTCGAAGCGTGCGCTTGCGGACACACTCGTGGTTGCCTGTTTTTGCATGCTATGAATGTGCATTCTGAGAATATATTTCAGCAATCAAAAAGCCAAATATTCTCCAGCTTATCACTGACGTTACAGGATTTGGGATCTCTCATAGTTTTGGAAATATGGTTTCCTCAACTAAATTGACTTTCAATTTATTATTTTATCTCGTTGGGTTATTCATAAATTTTTTAGTACCCGTAGCATTTGATTACACTTGGTGTGCATTGATAATAGAAGATGACTTTTATGTCAATTATGTTAAAGCTAACTTGTAGTATATTATATGCGTATTTAAGGTTTTCTAGTAATTTTTCACATAACACGACTCAATAGCCATGGATCGGATTGGGTTGAACAATTGGTCCTTCTCGACTTCATTTTATGAATTTAAATTGCAACTATTCAATATTCATGATAGTCGCCTACAGGAGCTTAGTGGAGGAGTTTACTTTATGAAGCAAACTGTAGGCAATGCCTGTGGAACCATTGGGCTTCTTCATGCTGTTGGGAATATCACTTCTAAGATAAAACTTGGTAAGTGTTCTGATACTTTAGATTATGCCCCTGTTTGATCCACATTAGTTTTTTCATTCTCATTCTTCTACTCATTTTCAACCACACGTTCTCCAATAAAATAATATTTTACATCACATCAATAACTTTTCCTTCTTTTTCAACCACATATTCCCTATCACATCACTTTAAAAAAACACATTTTCTCATTTTAATGTGCACCAAACAGGCTCTAATTTTTTATTAAGTTGGGAATACATATAACGCTGAAGATGATTCCATCTCTTCAGTAGCTGCTTGCATGGAAAATTTTCCATTTGTTGAGATTTTGATATTAGTAGGATTTTGGTTTATTGAGTGGAAAAGGGTCCAAATGGGCTGGAGAAATGGTGAAAGAATTAGGCAATATAGAGATATATACTTTTATATACAGAAAGGAGAAAAGATAGAAATGGGGCAGTAATAATCACTGAACTTGGTTTAAAAATGAGGTCAAAGAAGTTAAACAGGCCGGGGATAGGATTACATTTGTTAGAGTTGTTTCAGCTGAAGTTTAGATTCTACTTCTTTCATGCATGCTTACTATTGCTGTTGTGTATCTTCGAATAATTTCAGCAATTATTAATGTCCCTTTTGTATTTGTCACATCATGGTTTTCATTCACACCTATTTGCTTATTGTTTTCAGCTGAAGGGTCGTTTCTTGACAGATTCTTCAAGTCCACTGCAAAAATGGGTCCTTCAGAGGTTAATTTTTCTCGAACCTTTACTGTAATCAGTGTTTGGTTTCAAGTCACATGGTTTGCTTTGGTGTCTTTCTAAATATCCCAGAATATAATCGTCTTGCAGCGTGCTGCATTCCTTGAAAATGACAGAGAAATGGAAGTTGCTCATTCAGTTGCAGCTACTGCTGGTGAAACAGAGGTTAGGTTTTAGAAACATAGTCATTGACAGATTAATTGGTAATTCTGCGATTTATAGTAGCTGTAGTGATAGAACCCCTCTACAACTATTGCTCTACTGTGGAAATCCCTTGTAGCTAGCTGCTGTTCTGATAACCTGGGAATTACTTGTTTAGTAATTGATTAAGCCAACAATATGATGAGAGAATAAGAGAAGTTTGGTAATGTATAACTTTATATTGAATTGAAAATTGAAACAAGGATTGCTGCACTGAATGAAGAAAATTGAGATTGAACAGGACAAATTCCAGGCTATTTGAGAGGCCGGTCTCTCCTATTCCCTAACTGAATATCAGTCCAAAAACATGCATTGTGCAGGCCCCCCTTATCCTATTTATAGGTAATATTAGGCATCCCCCACACTATAGCACTACTACTCCTTTGCCCTTAACTGACTGGATGAATATTCTGGAATGCTAGTTGACGTGGCTGCTTCCATATTGTGTGTGTTAACCCCTTTTTTCCTCCTTGAATACGCGAACCTTATTGGAGGTCTATCATGCTGTAGTCAAAAGGAAGTAATTTAGATTTATTATTTTTTGTTTTCTGAGATGATATTCCAAGCTTCTTTGTGGAAGATAAGCTGATTATCGCCTGTTCATCAGTGGAATAGGAGCATTATTCCATTGCTAATTCAATATGGTCAATAAGTTATGCATGTAATAAAGTAATTATCAACTAAAACTCTTACTGTTCGAGACTCACAGATATTGGCTTCTTAATCTGGTTTTAAATTTTGAGAACCATCTCAAAGATTAGATTTATAATTTTTGCCATGAAAAATGTAGCATCTTTTAGCATCGAATTGTATTTCTTTTCCAACGTAATTTTGTACCCTTGGCTCATGTTGACTCAATGCTTAAATTCTTAAACTAGTGCAATTGATTTGCCAGGTTGGTGCCTAGGATCTTATCTAACTAGTAATTTGTGGCATTTGGAGTTGAACAATCCTAAGACATCTGTTTTCTTCCATTGCTACTTTAATATAGTTTAGTCTCTGGTAGTAGTGGACAAATATAGGCATGAAACAAGATGAATGAGAAATTTATAAATATTTCTGCATGCCCTGTCCTGATGTTGGAACCAAGATGTATGCAGCATGCCAATGGCTCATATCTCAGACTCCATGGCCTTACCCTAATGGGATTAAAGCTGCATAATAATTTATTTTTTCATCTTCTTCTTTTATCTGGGTTCTTGTGTTCATAATTCCACCTAGAACTGATAGTAGCGTGTAATAATCAATCATGGTAAATGGTACCTTAATGTTTCAGTGCAGCTCAAGGAGCTATTTGATCAATCAAGTAAAGTAAACTTGTTTTCAAATTTTTGGCCATTTTTATGAGATTTCTTATAATTATTTGGTCATGGTCTTGTTATTCGATCAGTTTAGTTTTATAAAGTTTATTTTCAATGAGTGGTGGGAAATTTGTGATCTCGTCTGTTTCTCTTTACAGGCTTCAGATAATGCAGACGCACACTTCATCTGCTTCACATGTGTAGACGGTAAGTCTCTTGCTCCCTCCTCTCCTCCCAATGCAAGTGCAGTGATTGTATTATATAATTATAGGGAATTTTAAATAGGAGTGGTTACTCCATTTGTTAATGTGAAGTAATATCTATTGTATGAGGAAAATGATGATATATAGATGAGCATTTGGGAGCTAATTTATCTGATATTGGCATCATGTTGCATGAGATAGATTGTGCAAGATTAGTGCTTTACTAATAGGTTATTGAGCTTGAATGTGTTTTTTGTATTAGACAACAGTAACAGGAAGCTAAGTTTTCTTCTCATAGAATTGAGGACAACTGCTTCATGAATCATTTTTTGTCATTCCGTTTATCACTTGTGGAAGGATTAAATATTCTGGAATCTCAATGTATTTCAATTATTCTACGTTTTCCTCTTCTAATGTTCTGTATTCGATTTTACAACTCTTGCTAATGAGACCTTAAGCTCATCTCAATCATTTAAGACATCGTCCCTTATTTTATCCTCGATTGCCTCCATCTCCGTTTGTTGGTTTATGGTCTCATTTCTAGTTTTATCTATTTTAGTACAACTACATTCATCTTAACATTCTCATTTGTGTTATATTTGATATTATGGAAGTTTGTACCTTACCTGTATTCAATTTTCTGCCGTACTTTGAGGCTTTCGGATTAGTAATGATTTTTATGATTCTATCTTGTGTTAACTCACTATTTTAGCTTTTAGTTTTTCTTGAGCTTCATTTTGAGACTGTGCTCCTACTTGACTGTCCATCTTGCTCAGCGTGTGTTCTTTCCTATAATGCAAACTTGATTTCCTTTTAATTACTGTACGATTGACAGCAAGAAGGGAGGCTGTATAGGACTTCTGTGAGAATTGAGTTGTGTGTATTGGGGGGTGGGGGAGTGGAACAGTGGAATGTGAATATCCAATAAAGCCTAGACTACCAGTCCAGATATGACCCATACAATCAGAAAATTATATCAAGGGGGCCAATTGCTGCCCACCATCTCCTGTGTCTCTGCTGCTGATTTAAAATTAAATGCATTGCCATGTTTAGCCCTTGTTTGAGCCCCATTTTCCATCAAAATACATTATTGAATAGTGATTTAACCAATTTCAACCACACATTTTTCAATAAAATAATATTTCACGCAAATACAAAACTTTTTCTTATTTTTTAACCACATATTCTAGCAAGACATGGATGGAAGACTTACCAAACGTGCAACTTTGATCTTTATTTTTTCTAAGTGAAACCCGATGCTTGCCAATGCTCATCTGCTTCAGCTTGGTATAACTGAATCCACCTTTACATCAATTGTTTAGTTATTTATTTAGAGCAAATTTACCGTCAGGATAAATATATACCACAAACTTGTTATTTACAGGTCAACTGTATGAGCTTGATGGAAGTAAGGCAGGGCCAATTTCACACGGCGCATGCTCTCCAAGCACCTTATTACCGGTAATTTTCTTCATCTGTAAGGGTTAGATGGGAGCGGGTTTAAATTTTTTATTTTTTTCCATAAATTGTTTTGGGTCTTTTCTTTTAAAAATCTGGTCGTTAAAAGAAAAATGGAAAATGGCTAGAAAAGAACATTGAGTAGTGCAACAAAAATGCTGCATCAAATTCAAAATATGTAAGTAAAATCAATAACAATCTGATGTCATGGAATCTTGAGCATTAAACAAATTCAAGTAATTGGCATTGAGCAGTGGACCGTGCTTCTGATGGCTTGAGACATTTGTCATTTGTCTGGGCGTCTTCCCTGGCATTTGCTCCGCCGATGGTTTAGGAAAAGTTTTTTTACCTGTAAACAAGCTTTCCTTTGGTTGTCTCACACTTGTTTTCCCAGACTTATAGTTGACAAGTGACAACTATTTGTTAGTGCTAAGAAGGGCGGGGTTAACAAGCGTCACTGAATTTTTAGCAAAATGTCATTTTGGTCACTAAAATTTATTTTGTTCCAAGTAGGTTTCTAAACTTAAACTTTCTTCCAGTTAGATCACTTGAACATTTGTTACAATTGGATCGTGACCGTTTGTGTGACTATTGCAAAAGCTTAATGCTGTCAAGTTGGCAAAAAGGCTGCCACATTACATTTTCCGTAAGTCAAACTAACAGATATGGAAAGAGTGACCAAGTTGTAATAAAGTTTAAGTTTGGTGGCCTACTTGAACAAAATAAAAATTTAATAATGAACATGAAATTGACAAAAATAATAATTTTGAGGCTACTCATGTTACTCACTTGGGAGTATTTCTTCCATGTAATAATAATTTTCGTAGCCACTATTTTGTCACTTGGATGTCTCCTATTTTCTTACAGGATGCGGCCAAAGTTATTCAAGAGATGATCCTGAAAAATCCCGAATCAATCAACTTCAATGTAATTTCTATCTCGAAGAAAACGGAAGCATTCGAATGATGTTCTTGACCACATTGTCTGGGTAGAAGCTGGACACTTGAGTGCTCCTAACTGACTTTAGGACATTTCTACATTTCAGCTTCCTTGTCTTGAGCATAATTCATAGTCTAAAACATTCTGATGGGATCTGTTGCTTGAGAGGGTATTTTTTATTTTTATTTTTATTTTTTTCAACCTACCCTTTGAGATGAATTTTACGTGGAGGCTATCGGTCCAAACATGACGAATTGTTGAATGCCTGTAACATACTAAACACAACATTAGAGTTTGCGATTTCAGCTGATCACTCTTGCTGTTCTGAAAGTTAATGTAATAATTAATTGCAAAATAATTGTTGTACGCAACTTTCACATGGTGGTGAGAATGGCAAAAAGAAACTCTGGGAGTTTTATTTTTTCAGTTGGTTGGTGAATTTGACTAATCATATTTCTTCACATCATCCGTTGGTAAATAAATTTGTAAGTCGTGATGCTTCACATCATTCGTTGGTAAATAAATTTGTAAGTCGTGATGTACATGTAGTACAATCGTAATTAATTCTCTAAAGACGTATATAAGATACTAGAAAAAACTCCTTTTTGAGTAGTGTTTTGTTACGATGGGGAAGAAATATTTGTTAGATGATCATGATAATTGGATTCTCGATGCGTTGATATTTTTAGTATATTACCAATTATTGTAACGTTATTGCTAGCTTGATGATTTGTTATTTTCTTGATTTCATCTCCCTTTTCAAGAATTATTACTTGATGATATACATTCAAATTGCTCAACACCTAACCTAGCTTACCAAACATGTGAGTAAGCATATTTAGGGTCTGTTTGGTAAAAAATCTTATTTTCTACAGTAAATCAATGATCATTTTCAACCATACATTCTTAAATAAAATAATATTTTCCATCACATCAATACTTTTTTCTTTTTTTTCAACCACACATTTCCCATCATATCACTATTCAAAAATCAATTCTTCCCCCAAAAATCTCTACCAAACACACTCTTAGCCTTAGTAACTAAACAAATGAAAAGGAAATGTTGAAATACAATGACAGCAATGTTCCCACAAGAAATAACTCCCTTTTGGGTAAGCTTTCTTTTTTTTCCCCCTCTAAACAGTAGTCTAATGTTGCAATTAACCTCTAGAAGAACACAAGGATCATACAGAAAAAGTGTAAAAGCGGGGGAAAAAGGCTGGCTTGTTTTCAACTTCTTTGCCTTCATTAGTCATCTTGCATTGGTCAGAGAACAAATTGAAGCTGGATATTACAAGGATTTCCTCATTGTAAATCAAGAATGATTTACCAGCCATGACGAATGAATGACGATAATCAGGATTACTGATTTCTGAGAAAATGCAAATCAACAGGGAGATCACTTTGTGAATGATAACCTCCCCAGCTTATCTGGACACTTAACTGATCATTTCCCATCATCTCTTGTTGTTCCTGTATTTTCCTTGCAGACATTACAACACTAAGGCTACAGTCATGTATTTCAATCAGTTGCAGTGTCAGAATTTCTCCAATACCTTCAGGGATTTCTCCGAGGCGGGTACATTCCTTTAGGACGAGGCGTTGAAGTCTCGGAAAGTGGGATTCATCTGCATCCCAGTCGTTTGGATCTGAATTCTCCATTAGCAAGAGCTTTAGTCGGAGAAACCCTCCCTCAACTGGTGACCACTTATCTCCGTCAAATGCAAAAGATCTGAGTTTAAGCACCTCAAGGTTGGGTAACATGCCAAGACTTTTCATGTCTTCCCATGGCAAATAGCTCCCACTTAAGGTCAACTTCTTCAGGTTTGAAGGGAACACATTCTGCGCTGAAAGCCGATGCTTTCTTGGTCTGTAGAGAAAATTACATTTCAATGTTTCGAGATCATTTAAACAGACGAGATTACTTAAGCATTCCGAGATCCACTCAGTACCAAAGTCAGTTTCAGTAGCATAAATTTCCAATTTCCTTAGCCGTGGCATCCCGGCATAAACTTCCTTAGAACAGCTGACAGGTCCTATCAAAGTAGATATTGTTTGCAGGTTATTTAAGCTGTTCTCGGTTCCCCAGCTATAAGGGAGTGGAAAATAGCATCCCCTTTTCAAGTGGATATGCCTCAGCTGTGACATGCTCCATATTTCTCTTGGCAAGTATTGGCCCTCCCAAATGTGATCAATAATCAAAGTTTGTAGGTTCTGAAGTTTGGATATTGATCCAGGAAGCTCGGAATTTATGGAGAGTGCCAAATACCTCAAACGAACCAAGTCAACTACTTCAATGGGAAAATGATTAGAACGCAGAAGCATAATATCCAATACCATGAGCAATTTGAAGTCTACTTGAACCAAGAATTCCAGCAGAAAAATGTCTGGCAGAATTTTGTTGACGTCAAAGCACAAAAAAGAACGAGTGAGGGGTTGTGAACCCATTGAGTAGTAATAGTGGAGGATACTGGCGTGGAGACTAATACGCCGGGGATATATTGATTCCATTTGAGGGATTGGAGCATAACGCTTTATTACCTGTAAAAAGTTTTGATTCAGGGATTCTCTCAAGCATACGTCGCGCAGTAGATCATGAATGTGACAAGTTTTGATTCTACCATTAGACCTTCTTTTTCCAACTAAAATCAGATTTCTGCCTACAAGATCCTCCAAGTAATCCTCTGCTACCTCTTCCAGGCGTTTCCCCCTTACTGGCTGAATAAACCCTTCAGCTATCCACAACCATATGAGTCTTGATACTGGGATTTCATAGTCCTGCGGGAAAGCTCCCATATAAAGGAAGCACGGTCTCAAAGGATTAGGCAAGTAATTGTAACTTAAGGCAAGAATATCCGTGCAGTGCTGTGGCTTTTCAGCAACAAGAGATACTACAGTCTCTGCAATTCTCTTCCAGCAGTCCAGCGTTCTGCTCACATTGTTCAGGAGCCCAGCAACTACAACAATAGCTAGTGGTAGCCCTTGACATCTTTCTGCAATTCGCTTGCCCATTTCGACCAATTCAGGAGGGCAGCTTTCTTTGGCAAACAACTTACTCTCCAAAAGCTCCCAACTTTCAGCATCTCGCAGGAAATGCATGCGATGAGCAGAACTCTTAGAACTGATATAAACAGCTACCTCAGTGTGCCGACTAGTTAATAGTATTCGGCTTCCAATCACATCATCTGGTAAAAATTGTTTAAGGAAATCCCAGGCCTTGACATCCCACAAATCATCCAAAACAATCAGATATCTCATACCTTTCAAAGTTTTGTACAGTTGCTCGCCTAATTCTTCATTTGTCTTTTTGCAAGTTTCATCTGTGATATTGGTGAAACATCTTAAAATTCCCAACAGCATTTCTCTCATTCGATATGATAGAGATATATTATATCCTTGAGATCCAGTGATCCATGCACGAACAAAAAAGTGATGAATGATAATCGGATCATTGTAAATTCTTCCAGCGAGAGTCGTCTTACCTATGCCACCCATGCCTATGATTGGAATAACTTTGAGATGGGATGGAAATCCTATGAGTCGATGAAGCAATGCTTTGATGTCATTATCAATGCCCACAAGCCTGTCCTCTGCGTTTAGAGAACTTGGTGACAAGTCTTGATCTGAAGGATTTTCATGGGGCAGAACTTCTGTATCGCGGATCTGTTTATCAAAAAATCTCAAGGCTTCTAGCTTGATCGACTTGATCTCTTTAATGAACTGTGAAAAGTTTTGGTGGGCGATCAAGGAAATCCGACTATACTCGATCTTTCTTTCCTGAATATCAGCGTTACGGATATAGCTGATATACACGTGAGAATCAATGAAATCTGCAGCACGGTAAGCTGCATCACTTATCCGTTTCTCCAAATTTTTCACATCATGATCATACATTTTCTCTGGGGAATCCTTGAGGGATACTTGCAATAAGCTAACTTCCTTGTAAAGAGATTCAATCTGTTCTTTCTTTAGACCAATGGGATGTGCCTGGGAATGCAAGAGTTCTTCTAGATCCCGCATCAGTAAAACTACGGCTGCATAAGCCATATCTTCTCCGATTAAATTCTACAACCCGGGCTAATTGATTCTGCACAATCCAGTTTCTTTTGCACAGATTTGACCGACCAGCTCTTCCTTTCAAAACAATCCAGAGATAAGAGATCTTGGGAGTTGAATCAGTAGAAGTTCTGATTGAAAGGGTTGCTATCAATAACAGCAATGCCTGAGTTTAACAAAGAAAGCGAGAACCCACCAACCAAATATTTAACAAATTAAACGTTAATCCACCAACCAAAAGAGTGGATATTTCCTGGAATTCGGATTACGACAGAGAGATTATCCAGAATCCTAGAGTTTTATGGGAAATTAGCACTTTCGTCCCCAACTTATACAATAGATTATTAATCCATCCTCAACCTTTTTATCACCAGACATTCTAACATTTGACTTAATTGTAAGCCGAGGAAAGGAGGTAGATGACCGGTTGACCCGACCACTAATCCACAATGGCTTTTAATCAAATTTAAGTAAAAAATAAAAGTAAAAAATTTAAAGAAATTACAATACCTATTTTACTTTCATTTTGAACGTTGAGAATTTGAAAGTCTTATCATTTCTTATTCTTCAATGTTTATTCATCTTATCCATCTCCATCGCTATCTCCACATTATTTGGTTATTTTCGATTTTTTTTTTGTTTATAATATTGATGGATAATTTTTTTTTAGTTTTAATATTCAAATATTTAAACAAAAAATCTTTTATTATGTTGAAGAAATCACAATAGATCTATTTTATGTTAATGAGGTATGGGGGGTTCGGATGGTCTGGGATCCAGGTGGTTCGAGGGTTTGGGGTGGTCCTGGTGGTTAAAGGGTCCGGGTCAGGCTTGTCCAGGGTCTGGGAGGAGAAATCCCATTTTTTAATTTTGAAATGAAGGGTATGTTTGTTTTTTAACGTTACAAAGACCACTGTGGTAAATAATTAGTAAGTTAGGCTTATGTGTTGAATAAAATGTCTGATGTGGTCATTTCAAAAAGCCATTGTAAGCCCTTGTGTAACCAACCATTAAAATAAAATTCTTTTTCTTTCTCAAACTCATTTTCAATCAAACATTTCCATAATAAAATATAATGCATGTATATTTAAAAATTTTCATACGTTTTAATCATCAATCATGTTATATGTACATTATTCTTTACATCATTTTCTACACTTTACCACGTGACAACACACCATTGAACAGTTTAAAAAATTAAATAAATTTTCCTCCAATCTTTTTTCAACAACACATTTAATGTCAAGAATAATGTATGCTTGGAGTGTACATCTAACATTCTTATTTAATCATACATTCTCAAAAAAGTCACTATTTTAAAACTCATTTTTCCCAGAAAATTCTTTATGCCCCATTTTTTTTAAAAATGAGTTTTACAATAGTAAACTTTGAAGATTGTGATTAAATTTTTTTTTTTAAAAAAAAGGCTTTAGGTTTAAGTGTAAAATATTTTATTGTGGATGTGTAGGTAAAAATGAGTTTTAAAAAAAGAATTTCTAGATAATGGGGATCAAACATGGGCTCATTTCAATGAATGTCAAACATGTAAAAATTTTGTCAGCACCTGAGCCCTTGTTTGAGTTTTATTTTTTCTTCAAAATGCCTTTTCAAATTGTCTTTGAAAATTGTGTAGTTAAAATAAGAAAAAAAAATTGATTTATGTGTAATACCATTTTATAGAAAAATATGCAGTTGAAAATTAGTTTTTAAAAAATAGGCTAAGCGTGTGTTTGGAACTCATTCTTTTGAAAGACTGTATTATTGAATAGTAGATTGATAGAGAATGCGAGGTTAAAATGAAGGAAAAGTTATTGATATGATGGAAAATATTATTTTATAGAAGAATGTGTAGTTGAAAATAAGTAGAAGAATGAGCATGAAAAAAATAATGTGTACCAAATAGAGCCTAAGTGTATGTTCGTTTGGTAGCCATTTTTAGCAAATTTTAAGAAAAATATTTGTGGGTCTCACATGTGAGAGGGGAAGTAAAAAAAAAAAAAAAACGGCTGACTTTTGGTCTGAAAAATGGCTACAATAAACAAATAAAGGGAAAATTGTAAAAGAAGTCCCCAATCTTGTAAAAATTATAAATTCCCCCAAGGATAGTAAAACCTTCCACGCTACTACCCACTGGCAATCGCAATTTTCCTTGGACCATCTTCAATATAATTTTTATTTTTAAAGAGTATATTTTGTAATTTATAGTGTAATTTTTTTTTTTGAAAACTTCAACGGACTCTTTATTTTTAATACTTAATTTTATTACTTTAAAAAAGCATTTATTTTTTTTATCTTTTTCTTCTAAATTATTATATTATTTTTTTCCATTGAAAATTGAAATAGTTTTGATGCATTTTATTAAAATGTTAACTTCACGGTTTTGAGCAGGGTTGACACTTTAAAACAAATAATATCTTACATTAAACAGCCTCTTGTATATGCTCTTTTTGTCAAATCCCCCCAATGTGAATTAAAAGAATAAATGACAAATTAATTTTCGAAGGAGCTTATATGACACCATTTCTCCATTGCCGACTTTGGATGACGGTAATCTGAAGGAGAAAATGAAAAAAAAAAAATAATAATAAATAAATTTTTCTCTGTCTGATTTTCTGTGCAGCGAATTCAAAATTAGGGATGACAATGTGCAGGGCCGAGCCGGCCCGTATGCCCACGAGCCGAGCCCGGCCCGTATGCCCCCAAGCTCGGCTAGTGCTCTTGGCTCGTTACTCACGAGTCGAGTTCGGCTCAGCCCGTGAGCTCGGGCTGTTTAAATTATTATTATTATTATTTTAAGATATACCTTTTTTCTGAAAAAATAAAATAAAATAATAACCATTCAATTTTGGACGAGCCCATGAGTTGGCTTGTGGGCGAACTCGTTGGCTCATGAGCCGGCCTCCTCGGCTCGTGCTCATCTTTTTGAAGAGCTCGAGCGGTCGAGCCGACGAACCATTTGGCGGCTCGGTTGCCACCACTACCAAAATCAAATGGAATGAATAAAGAGTGGAGTAGATTAATAGAAAATGTACTCAAAGTGCATTATGTATTTCAATTATCAATGATTAAGAGCCTGTTTGGTACAGATTCTCATTTTCTACAGTAAATCAATTCTCATTTTTAACCACACATTCTTCAAGAAAATAATATTTTTCATCACATCAATAATTTTTCCTTCTTTTTCAACCACATATCCCCTATCACATTAATAGTAAAAATGTATTTTTACTCCCAAAATGTGCATCAAACAAGTTCTAAGTGACCAATTCATAGGGATGTTTTTTATTTTCAAATTCTACAGTAAATCAATTCTCATTTTAAATCATACATTCTTCAATAAAATAATATTTTCCATCACTTTCTTCTTTTTCAACCACACATTTCCCATCATATCACTATTCAAAAATCAATTCTTCTCTAAAAAATCCCTACCAAACACACTCTAAATCAGGAATGAATTCAACAGTGAATTTTCGATGTTTGTACAAGGTGTTTGTGTGGTGCATTGTTTGTTGTGAAATTTCCCATTTTTCTTTTGTTTAACACGCAGACGGTTTGACAAATCTTTGAGGAGGTTGCGATGGCTGGTGGTTTTTGCAGGTGGCATAGTGGGGGTTTTGAGTTTGCAGGGCGGGGTTGTGGGAGCGAGTCGGTTGGTGAGTTAATTGTACCATTACACATTTTGCTCATCGTCGTGCTTTATTCACGGGATTTTGAATTGCTTTCAAATGATCACTGAACTTGCACAAGTTGCACTACATTCATCACCCATGAAGTTATCGTTGCTTGGAAAGCATACATGGATGGACTAAATTCGATGTGACACGTTGACAGAGTTAAAATAACCAAACAAGCATTGTGTGGCTATCGTGTCCGAAAGAATTAATTGCTTAATTACACATTAAATTTTGTGAATTTTCATGCTTTGCTCACTGTAATATGAATTGCTTTCAAATGCTCAGTAAACTTGCACAAATTGCATTCCATTCATCACTCACGAAATTATCGTCGCCTTCTTTTCAATTCATAATTTTCTATGACGGAGCAAGTATCTAATGCAAATTAAATAAATCAAATTACCTAAAATTCTTCCTTCGAAATTTGAAAAGACTTTTCATCCTTCCCAATCAAATACTGAGCTAAGGCGAATTATCTAATTGGCAGCCTAGACCTGACATGATTATTGCCCTAGCATAGTTATTAGACTCAACCAGTCGACCAGAACATCGATCTGATTGAGATATTGGGTCTCAGGTTACTGATCAAACTGGTAGATTAGTGGTTGGACCGGTGGGTTAATACTTAAAAATTCCGAAAAGTTAGTTTAAAATTTTCTTTGAGATAAAATTAAAGATTTTAAATTATTTATCATTAATTATTTATATATTTTTAGATTATTTTGTTGAATATTCAATTCATTTTAATTAAAATTAGGACTATAATGTTATTTTAAAAATATCTTTAACAAACTATGCATCTGTTTGAGCTATATTTTTTGCTAAGATTCTATTCTGGAATTGTAAATAGATGGTGAATGTGTAATTAAAAAATAATGAAAAATTTTAGATTTTCGTGTAATATTATTTTATTGAAAAATGTGTGGTTAAAAAGAAGTGAGAAAAAAATGTATTTTGAAAATAATTGGATATAAATTATTGAGCTCGAGTGGCTACGTACTACTCATCTAACCTTAAGGGCCAAGTTTCAAGTCTTTTGAACGCAAAAATTTTAAGGAAAAACTTTCGAAACTCGATCAAACCAATCAATTAGACAAATTTAACAAGGGCTCGGGTAATTGATTTTCTTGCCCGACCTAGAGGTCTGAGCCTGATTTTATAACTATGTACCCTAGGCTAAGATTCACATTTAGAAGATGAGATGTCAAAATCATGGATATTTGTGAAGTCACAAAACTTGGTTTATGTGGTGGTGGCAGCACAATGGATGACAATGGTGCTGTTGCACGAATGATATACCGCGATAATATTGAACTTTTTGTGCTGAGGAAGAGTGTTTGCACATTTGTGATCATGGGGCTAATGACATGGCCAGGTCGACCATGATATACGAAAGAGAGAGTTTAAATAACCTAGGTCACAATAGATGGTCCTGCGAGGCAAAATTGATAGTGAGGTAGTTGCCGTAGGAAGCCTATCATCGATTGCAAGTGAACTTCAAAAGAATGTGGGGATCGAAGTTACTTATCTCCGCAAAACTCCACCCATAATGTTGGGCAATTAGGAGTGGGCGCGGCCCCCTCGACCCCCGCGACCTGACCGGGCAGGTCGATCCCCGTTGCGTAGCGGCAAACACTAGTCGGAGCGGCAAAACATTCGCAAAACAAAAGATAATACATGCAAAATGATGAAAAATATCTAACATAAAATTCTTCCTTCGAAATTTGAAAAGACTTTTCATCCTTCCCAATCAAATACTGAGCTAAGGCGAATTATCTAATTGGCAACCTGGACCTGACATGATTATTGCCCTAGCATAGTTATTAGACTCAACCAGTTGACCAGAACATCAATCTGATCGAGATGTTGGGTCTCAGGTTACTGATCAAACTGGTACATTAGTGGTGGGACCGGTGGGTCAATACTTAAAAATTCCAAAAAGTTAGTTTAAAATTTTCTTTGAGATAAAATTAAAGATTTTAAATTATTTATCATTAATTATTTATATACATTTAGGTTATTTTGTTGAATATTCAATTCATTTTAATTAAAATTAGGACTATAATGTTATTTTAAAAATATTTTTAACAAACTATGCATCTGTTTGAGCTATATTTTTTGCTAAGATTCTATTCTGGAATTGTAAGTAGATGGCGAATGTGTAATTAAAAAATAATGAAAAATTTTAGATTTTCGTGTAATATTATTTTATTGAAAAATGTGTGGTTAAAAAGAAGTGAGAGAAAAATGTATTTTGAAAATAATTGAATATAAATTATTGAGCTCAAGTGGCTACGTACTACTCATCTTACCTTAAGGGCCAAGTTTCAAGTCTTTTGAACGCAAAAATTTTAAGGAAAAACTTTCGAAATTCGATCAAACCAATCAATTAGACAAATTTAACAAGGGCTCGGGTCATTGATTTTCTTGCCCGACCTAGAGGTCTGAGCCTGATTTTATAACTATGTACCCTAGGCTAAGATTCACATTTAGAAGATGAGATGTCAAGATCATGGATATTTGTGAAGTCACAAAACTTGGTTTATGTGGTGGTGGCAGCACAATGGATGACAATGGTGCTGTTGCACGAATGATATACCGCGATAATATGAACTATTTGTGCTGAGGAAGAGTGTTTGCACATTTGTGATCATGGGGCTAATGATATGGCCAGGTCGACCATGATATACGAAAGAGAGAGTTTAAATAACCTAGGTCACAATAGATGGTCCTGCAAGGCAAAATTGATAGTGAGGTAGTTGCCGTAGGAAGCCTATCATCGATTGCAAGTGAACTTCAAAAGAATGTGGGGATCGAATTTACTTATCTCCGCAAAACTCGACCCATAATGTTGGGCAATTAGGAGCATTTAGTCCATGAACCCTCGCGTCCCTGAATCTAGGGCACAATTCTCTCTCATTAGATCGATCCTTCCAATAATAGGGTGACACATGTCCTATTTTTACAATAAGTCTCCATCAATTTACATATAACCAAACTAGAGTCCACAGCTGAGCTGGTAGTCACAGTGTGAGGGTTCGATTCCTGCTTTTTACAAACTCTTTGTGGGCACCAATATGTCAGTTCTTATACCCTGGCCTGCTGAGATACATCCCTCGATTTACCTCTTCGACAATACTCTAGGGACAGGCAGGAGGGAGGCCCTCAAGGTTGGGGTTCAACCTTCATAATTCTTTTTCATATATTGAAGGGAGATGTGGAGAGATATTTTTAAATTTAGCATAAAGATAAAAGGGTATATTGAAAATGTATATTTGTTTCATGAGAAAATTTTAGTAATTATAAAGGATTACGGTCAGCATAATAGTAAAAAAAAAATTCAAGAACGTCAATGTAGTGTGATTTTTTTATTTTTTATTTTAAAGAAAATCGATCTATACTGAACAAAATATGTTATTTATTAACACTTTTGCATTGAGTTTAGAATTATTATTTATAAAATAGTAAATAGTACAAGTAAATCTCTCATTTTTTTTACACTAATTATCAATTTCTCTTTTTTCAACTCTATAATATATTTAGCAGATAACTATACTCTTGCATAGTTGCATTTGTTTCTTCGCCCGTAGAGATTCTTTAAAATTCATTTTCAAATACTTTTTAATTCAATAAAATAATTTTATACACGAATTCATAACTTTTTTTGAAACTTTTAACTACACATTTTCCAAAATATCATTTTTTTACAAAATTTACTCTAAAAAAAAATATATTAAGCATGCTCTTTATGTCTGATTATAGTAGGGAGCGTAGTCATTTTGACTATTTGTTGAACAAATAATATTTCTAATATACCACTTTTTAATTTAAATTTTTAAATTGAGAACATGTTTTACTGTACTTAATTTTCTAAGACGTAAAATTGGAAAAAATTAGTTATTATTACTAAAAAGTATCATATTTGTTAAAACAAATAATCTACAGATAAGTTTGTCTTTAATCGTAAAATTCATCTACTTTAAGAAGCGTGGGAAAGTTCAAATTGTGGAAGAAAGAAAGAATTCAATTTTATTACTGGTGTAAAAAATATTACAGAAAATAAATCAAAACATTTTATTACCGCGGAACAGACTTCACTCGTACCCTTTTCGATCCACTACTTTCCACTGGCTTCCCACCACGAACCACTGGTTAAGCCTAGGGCTGTAAATGGATCGGATCTGACTATATCAGATTCGATTTGATAAGATAATCCAACGGATATTTGATTATTAAACGAGAAGATTTCATAACTAAGAGATTTTGTTTTACCAATTTTAAATTTAAGAACTTAAATTTCAAATTTCAGATATTTTTAAATTAATTAATTAAACATATATTTTATTAATTAAATATATTAATGTCACAATTCCATATAACTGGTCACAAATCACAAATTTTATATGTCACAATTCCAAAATTTTATAAGTCACAATTTATTTATCGGTTACAAATCAAAAATTGAAACGTCACAAATTATTTATCGATCACAAATCTATCAAATTAATAAGCACATGTTATTTATTGGTCACAAATCACAAATTTTATAAGTCACAAAATATCAAATTAATTGATCAAAAATTATATTTAGGTCACAATTTATCAAATTATTAGTGAGAAATTAATAAATGTTTAGGTTACACAGTATGTATTAGTCACAATTTATCGGTTTCATTGGTCACATATTGTTTATTGGTCACACACACCAACCAATTCATTGGTCACAATCAACCAAATCATTTGTAACCACCACCAACGCTTGTGACCACTACCACACAGTTGCAACAGCCCAAACTACCATCACCAGAACCACCACCTCTAGACAACAAACCATCGTCTCGAATACCGTAGCCAACATCACCACCAACACCACCATCAACCCACAACCATCGTACACCACCACCACCAGATCCCACCACCTGTAGCACCACCATCACGACTTGTTCCACCAGCGTAACCCACCACCGCACCAACATCACAGCGCTAGTAGCAGCCAAAGGGTGGCCCCTGCCAAGGTCCCTAGAGCCCATACTACAACCACTTGCACAACAGACAAAAACTCCCAACACCACCAAAATCACCCCAAACCTCCATAAGCAGCATCATCACCAACACAACCCAAGCAGATTCACCACCGCCGTCAGCATCTCACCACCACAGCACCTTACCACCACTACGGTGGCGGCATGAAAACCCGTAAATTAGATTTAACCACGACAGAGCAGATCTATTACACCGCCACTACTGCAAACCACGGGGCTAGAATTGATACTATTCTTCTATTTGAGCTTCAGTTTCAGTATGCTCTGATCGAGAAATGATTTCAATAGGGTAGTATTATCGGGGTTATCACCCGATCCAGTTTCAGCCGAGGGTGGGTCTGTTTCGTTCTCCATGGCATCCATATATCGAAGAAGAACCAAGAGGAGATGAAACGACCATCTGGGTGCAGATAGGAAACAGACTGCTACTTCTCACCGATGTAGAGTTGGCGGAGCTTCTCCATCTTGTGGCGGCACTGCGCCGAAGTCTTGAATATGGGTGCGTCGGAGAAGAGATTGTTGACATGGCCGCCACCGCATCCCTAGTCTGCCATGCACAGGTATCCTCTGCGGAGTGCAAAGAGAAGAGAGAGAAGAAGATGAGACGAGGAAAAGGAGGAAAATGTTTTGATTAGGGTTTGGAATGAAAATTATATAATTAATTTTAATATTTAAAAATGAAATATCTGATTTTTGAAATTGAATTTTAAAAACTCTTGTTTTGTGTAATTTCCACTTATTAAATCCATATCCAATTTGCTATGTTATCGAATATTTGATTCGATAATCCGATCCGAAATTAATAAAAATTAGAAAAAAATCAATGTTCTTTAAAAAATTTTGAACTAATTTGAGGCTCACGTGTTTTTTCTAGTAAGCCCAATAGTGACTTCTACTATCATGATGGTCATTTTTAAATGAGAAATCATCTTCTAGTTTTCTATTGACATTTAATGTGGGATAAGGTAAAATTGAATTTCAATTCTGAATATAAATATTTTATTTCATTATTTCTATTAATAAATCAAATTATTTTTTACATATTAATTATTAGTTTTTGAAGTTGTAAAATAAATTACAATAATTAATTTAATTAAAAAAATATAGATATTTATTTACTTTAAATTAGCAAACTAAAATTAAAAAAATCTATTATTTTTATAATATTTTACATTTAGTTATTTATTCAATTTGACAATCGGTTCGATACCAATTCGACCCCTATTCGACTTTTTTGACCCTTAACCCTATTCCTTTTCCGGGTTGATATCCGGGTCGATTTTTAAAATATTGGTTGAAATCAATTTATTTTTCTTTCAAATTTTCCAACTCTTAAACATGTTTAATAATTATAAAATTTTCAATTTTTTTATGTTTTGAATTTGATTACTTTTTTATTCTAAATTTATTTATTTATTTTAGTGACAAACAATATGCCATAAAAATATTTTACCGACTCAATTATTTATAACAAATCAGATCGGATCGACCTATATCCATATTTAATCCATTTAGTTAACAGATTATCGGATTCAGATTTTGATCGGGTTATCGGATTGAGACCCTAGATCCATCTCCTATTAATTTCGTCGGATTCAGATCTAAATCCAATCCATCGACAGCCCTAGTGAAGCCACCTTTCCCACCGCTACCTACCGCTTCTTAGGCAGCCCATTTTCCGATGTCCCAATGTAAGTAAAATTTATTTTACACTTTTACTTATTATTCATTTATTGATTTGCTTTAATTATAATGATTTTTAAATATCAAAACATGTGTCAAAAACGTATTCAACTGTTATAATCAAAACAAAGTAAGTCAATCAGTCGAAAATGACTGGGTGTTATAGGTTAAGAGATTCTTGGCTGCGGTTTTTTAGGGTTCCCAAACCCTAAACGAGGTGTAATATTTACCTACCTTATAACATATATAGGAACAAATACTTACCACATTGGATTTGTTTGATTAGTCAAATAATTAAAAGAATGAAAGTTGTTTTAACAAATGAAAACTTTCCTTAATTTAATTATTGACTATATCAAACATTCTTTATATATATACAAAAATATATATTTACCTTATTGGACTGATTTGATTGGTCAAATAATTGAAAGAAAGAAAGATTATTTTAACAAATTAAAACTTTTCTTAATTTAATTATTAACCATATCAAACATATTTTATATATTCTTATCAGGCAAAACTTCCATATTTTAGATAAAACACATTCATACCTTGGAAGTGTTTTTACATAAGTAAAGAAAATTGTTAAGTGACGAGCGGATGCTTGGAGAAAAATTTGTCTATATCGGCAAACTTGCAACAGCAAATTCTGAAGTCGTCCGACCTTTTCCAGTGAATTCTGACCTGCTGATGTTTTAGTGAAGTATCTCAAAGCAAAATCATGTTCTTCAACCGTAATTAAAGAGAACATACATGTGCGTGAATAATATAATCCTACCCAAAGATCAGGCTATCTACTTGGCGTGAGTTAAGATTCTGAATCTTAATTTAAGAGGTGATTGCGACCGAATACAATAGTGAAGCGACGATAAAATCAAGACGGATTGTTTGATTCCACTTCTCCAACAAGTCAAAAGAAGAAAGAAAACAAGAGAATTGTTTTACTTGCTTTTGATTGTTTTTGCTAATTTTATGAAATTACCAAATCGAAATTATTATATTTTAGGTTCATTGATAGTGGATTATTTTACTCGTGGCGTGGGAGCTCGTGGATGTTTCCCATAAATGTTTACCATGTTATATCTAGCGTTCATCATTATTTAATTTCGCAATAGATTATATCTTGTAAAACGCAAATCTATTTGTTGTCCCAATCAAACTATGCGTATAATTGCTCGTAAGAAGTTCTGACCGATTGACGTATTCTGACTAAAACGAATAATTGAGATAAATATTTTAATTAACTAGGTTTTAATATTCACGCCTAGAAGATGAAGAACGACTAGGTGATGATGATGATGATGATGATGATTTTTTAGTAATCTCGATTGGGTCCGGCTTACCAGAATTTATCCCATGAGGAAAATTCAGTAATGCATGTGAGCCACCCACGTACGCGATACGTTGCCCGGTCGTACGCCAATGCAGAATCCTCCGCTGTTCCAAATGTCCCTAGCAACACACTGGCGCCATTTTTTGGGGGATTGAGAATCATCGAGCAAATGCCTTGTTATCGATTCAAGTAGGGCAAGATCCTCCTCATAAGCTTTACTTTCATACATCATCATTTTGTACTATAATTTCCAAAAAAAAAAAAAAAAACTTAAGGCTGTTCTCTTTGTGTTTCAGTCTTGCGTTTTGAATTTAGAATTCATTTTGGATTTTGTATTTTGATTGTCCATTTTAAGATTGTTAAAAATGTGTTCTTTTTGACATTTTGAAAAATTGTTTTGAAAACAACCAAAATCCGTTTTGAAAATTTTGGTTTGATTATAACTAAAAACATCCAAAACGACAATGTTTTCTTTATAAATTTTTAATTTTTTTTCAAAAACGCGTTTTCGAAAA